CCACTTCAGTCAAGGTAGCGCTCTAGAAACTCTGCCACCCGCCGAGCCGTTCCAGCTTAATCAGGCAAGGGAATACCTTTACCAGGACCAGCCCTGAGCAGTGTATTCTGGAGTCATTCGAGTCCGGCATTGATAGAGTGGCCGCATTTAAGATAGAAAACAAGTCTATTGCACCCCCGTAACCAGCTTATCTGGTACGAAAATATATTCAGAAAGTAACTGATAGCCCGTGGCTGCCTTTTGACTGGAATGGGAACACAACTTGAATGTCATCATTGTATGACAAGTACGGGACAAATTCAGGCTTATTCACAAGCCATATACATGCTGTAAACCCAGGCAAAGATCGACGCCAGCTGATTGGGTGCTTTAACTTAGACGTTCAATCGGAGAAGAGTCGCTTGTTTACTGCCAAAGAGAATGCGCGGAGCAGGGATCTGCCGCTTCGCCAATGTTCTGCTGCCGTACCAGATATTCTTGATAGACCAGTCATGGGGGTATCCGGGAGACGTGAGTTCGGCAGTATGAATGATAGCAGGGAGTGGCTATTCTTGTGACCGGTCCGCTGGTGAGCATCGGTGGCCCGGGCGTGTTGGAAGAACACTTATAATTATAATCAGGAAGCGGAAGGAACCCGACAGTAAGATCCAGCTCCGTGCGGCAGCTATGGCGATCGCCTTGGTTTCTGCCTTCGTTATCAAACTCTAAGGACTTAATACCAACCCCGAAAACTCGAGAATCGCCGCTTCGAAGATCGGCAGATGTGGACGGGGAATCCGTGCCGATTATTGTAAGCCCAACCTCTGGTTTAATAATAGGAACGGCGAAAGATTGAATGATTGTTACCGGCAGATGCACGGCCGCGGGATGGGTGAGTAACGCTCACAAAGCGCCAGTTAGAGATTGTAAGGAGCAGAGAGGGGCCCAAGTATTCAAATCCCCAATAGCATTACAACCATTAGAAAGCGTTATATGTGGGCATATCCTGCAGGGATATACAAGTTGAGAGACATAGGAGAATAAGGTCTCGTTTTATGCATCAAAGGGGACCCGCATTCAATCCTCGTAGGGGACTACAGAAATGACATTTTTCAGACATGTCTATTTTCCACGTCAAGGGAAAGTTTGTTGAATAAGATCTTGTAGATAAGCCCCGTTTTATGTTCGGACTGAATGCGGGAGGAACCCCTATGGCGACTGCTGATATGCAAGGTTATATTGCCTGCCGCTGTTATCCGCAATAGAGAAGCAAGGGGAAGAGGATCTAGTACAATTTTTGTCCGCTCTTCGCCATTCTGTCACAGAGTTGCGCAAGTGGAGACCATGGCGAGGATCGCTCCACTAAAACAAAGCATCCCAGTGTGACAGGATGCAAGAGAATCGTTCGTTCAAGTTGGGTACCCTTACCAATAGACCAAGAAACCTCCAAAGCGTAAACAGCTCCTCACCAGTACCATGGGGGGGTGGCCAAGCAGCCCGAGAGCAAAGGCGGCGTGTTTGTGAGCCGATCGTAGTACTATTACCATATTGGCGCGCAGCAATTTCGCGGCGTTTGAAATCCAACTTCCCTAAGCGCCGATCCGACCTTCGCAACTCCACCGAGCTCCTTTCGCGGGATCAACGGTACGGTTGGCTACCATGCTTAAATTACTGTTAACTTTCCTTCCAGATCTTATGGACCTAAGCCAGAACCTGCCGTAAAACTAGGGCAGTATGTTGAAAGGCTCCATTGAACTTTGTTACTTTATCTTTCGAGCATGCTTACACACGATGAAACACTACTAAGATCAGGTGGCCTCCCGCGAAACACGAGCAGTGCACCCCTTGTTTGATGCATCAGATCGCGCAAAGGTGGCACAATTCATACGGCATGCAGGGGTGAAGCTCTGAATATCCCCGCTTTACTCAGCTGTATGTCGAAAGGCTAGGTACAACCAAAGTTCACCGGGTTGCCAATGAATTCATTGAATTTTGAGATATATGGGGCCCATTTTACCTAACAGGTACTCCGCTACTCTAGGCACCTTCTGCGCTACAGATTTGTATGACCCAAAGGAGACATTCATATTCTTGGAAGATGTGATGTCAAATATGTGGTTAGCCAGGGTAAAATAAGGAACGAAGTTCCACTTGCTTTCTTGGGCCTGTTGATCAGGAACCACTGGCTCAAAGTACCCAGTGACCAATGGCTTTAGTGGTTATAGGGAGGATTTTATTCCCCGTTCCATAGTGTTTTGATAGTCTAGAAAGCTGATACCTATACCATATTCCAGCTTGAAGCGCACAAAATCAAGACTCCGTCGAAAATATCTACAGGCTTGTCGGGCGCTCGGAAAACCAGTTCTTCCGCTCACAAAAAAACACTAGACTTACGAGAACGCGCTTGATCCTTGGTAAGTTCAATACATAGTCAAAGTGACTTCTCTCAAATAACATTGAGAGTCCTATCAACCACCCGGGTTCCATGGTGTGATTGCGATATGATTTATCGCCGAGCTGCTGGAGTCGGGTCACGGAACATTGGGAGAAGCGGACATCGCCATGTTTAGGGTTTTTACTTAAAGAAGCAGATGGAGCAGATCTCGGATGGGTTAAACAACTCATTGCTGGAGTTAGTCGGAGCGGAAGGTAGTGAGAGGTTGTAGGCATAGAACCACGACCCATTGGTATACAGGAGATCAAAGATGAAATTTGGGCGACAAGCCAGTGAGGCGAGAGCTCATCATTTTATCGTGACGATCCAAACAGAGTCGATGTGACACGCCACACGAGGCAATGAGTACGACGCAGAACCACCTCATTGACTTCACACAGCTAGCGAATCGCGTTGGCGTTTCCTTCCTCTCGTCATCTGCGCATAAATAGCACAGAAGACAACGAGGGCTGTGAGCAGAGATGGAGGTTCTCCGTCGGTTTTTGTGCCTCGAAGCATGGCATTAGACAGGGATGAAACAGGTCCCGTCGATGCTGTAAGAAATTCGGAAGCTCGAAGAGATCGTTTGCAGTCTTGATAGGCGCCATTCGCAGGTTGACCTAGTGGCAAAGTCGGTTTCCTACATTTGAGACACAAATATAATCGGAGAATTTGTCGAGGGACGTGGCAAACCACCCGGATTCAAATCGTCCTGTTTAGGCTTGACACATGTCCTCTCGTCTCAGGAACACTAAGACTTAGATGCGCACAAGGCAGGAAGATCCAGATATAGGTGCACGGGCAGATACGTAGGTAGAGCTGTGGGCATGTCCTTTCCGCAGAGGGCTGTCGCGAATGGTCTAGTTGGAATGTCTGGAGAGGGGGGAAGAATACACATAAGAGAACCCAGACAAGAGTGGGTGACAGGGCGTGGACGTCCAGCTACCGCAGGCTGGTGTGGAGGAGAGGAAACAACTCAACACAAATCTTAACAATCCACTTCAATCGACGTCGTACACCCAAAAATGCACACGCGAGTGATGAGCGGAGGAGTTGGTGAATAGTTTCCTCTGACATGCTGCGTTGGGCAATCGCTGGACGTGTTGCGGAACATGGTGTAGGAGCCAGATAAGTAAGAAAGAATCGAAGAGGAAGGAAGGGTTAAGGAAGGGAGGAACCGTGCAGTACTTGACAGAGAAATTTGAAGTCCGGCCGCCCCGTGGACACCAACTCCCGCTACAACGTCTTCATACAAGCACCCAGTACCAGAAGGATCCGCTGTTGCCCCCTGAAGGCGAGCGGTTCTCTGATGCTTGTATCCATTGACAAGAATGCAGCGACGAGGTTGGTGGCCTTGCTCGGCCCTCATGAAGGTAAGAGAGGACGGGAAGAAGAGAACGAGAAACGAAAACAGGAGAGAGGTATAGGCTCGTTCGGCAGACGTCTGTGGGAACCCGATCCTGGCCACACTGCACGAGGGACAACGGAGACGACGGAGAACCGGCCTACCAAACCTTTTCTGACACAGCTACCGAATCGCGCCGGCGTTTCGTACCTCTCATCGTCTACGCATATGTTGCATAGAAGATGAGTAGAGCTGTGGGTAAGTAGTTTGAAATGGAGGATCTGCGTCGACTGATTCGCGGTCCGCGAGGGACGTAGTCCGCCCGCGAAAGTGAGGTGTTTTAAAGGGGGAAAATCCTTCCGTGTTGACAGAAGCTGAGCAACTGGAGGAAAATAGCCATCGCATGGCCTGTCGTTCCACAAAAGCTCAGGACATCTTGGACAGCGCACAATAAGATGAACTTGACATGACTAGGCGAGCAGTTACGTAGACGATAGTACGTCTCGTCATAGACAGCTATAGGCATGGTCTCCGCGTTGTGCGCTGTCGCTAAGTCCAGGGGTCATGAGAGAGCAGAGCTGTCACTGTTAGACCTTTCACTGCCTGCGTATGACCTGCGGACCTATAAGGACTCAACCATCACAATGAATCCGAGAGAACCTGAAGAACCGACGAACGACGACGTGCAAGTCCAGCGTCCAAGAGAGGAAACTGACAGCAAAGTGGAGAATTTGCAATCCGCACAAATCGACATGCAGTGCATGCGTATTAAAGGGCATGCACGAGCGACGTGCGGAGACTCCAATGTGCCAGTTTACTCTCGGCCGCTGCCTTGCGTGGGTACGTGGCCGTCCAGTTGAAGGTAAAAGCTGTCTTGGAAGAGAGAGACAACCACGCAGCTTTCCGAATCGCGAGAGCACACAATCGCACTAACCTCCTTTCTCTATAGAGGGCTTTCACATCGCGCGCAGTGACTAGAAAGACATCACTACGATATCTCCTGGGACTGTCCGCGAGCATGCCCTGGGATCGTCAAGGTTGGTGGCTGTGAATGGGTTGCGATTCGTAGGAGGTGGGAAGAGGAGGAAAGAAGAGGAGAGGTAAACGAGAATAAGAAAGAGGAGCACGGGGGTATGAACGGACTCCGCTGTCCTGTTGCAGTGGTTGATGCCGGGGTTTCGCAGACGGAGACGACGAGCTTGCCAGCCTTGGTAAAAGGCCACGGCGGGGTCGTGGTCCTCGATGTCCGCGGATACCCTGCAAACGAGCCTCGCGACGGCACTGATGACGTCTGCTCAGCTCGACGTCATCGATTCCCTTACGTTCCCCCGTCTGTCCTTCTGTTGGGTCCTCTCCGTGCATCCCGACCTCCGTCCTGCTCGGAATACCCTAGCGCATCCGATACCTCCGATCCGTCGACGCCCGCTCCCGCGAATGAGTCTTGGGTACGGCTCTCGATTCCGAGAGAGGGCTAGCGCAGATCGTGGGGCGTGGCGTCTAGACGTTTTCTGCTACTGTAAAGCAGCGGGATCGGACGCCACAGAACGCTGGGCCCCTGGCATGGCATGGAAAACGGCTGCGAATTGGGTGACTGGTGGCGGACGGGCTCGGCCCTCGTGCGTGGACGACGATTGGACTGATTCGTGAGGAAGTGGTGACGGAATTACTGAGTGGCGATTGAGAGGCTAACGTTAACGCCGTCGCTGACAACCTGAGGACGGGTTCCCTACCCCAGGCTTCTCTACCCCAGGCTTCTCTCTCGTGTGGGGAATAAGGGTGGCGTACGCGGGGTCGTTCAAATATTTTCGTGCAGCTGTGATTGGTGGTAAGAGATGTCGATGATCGATGAAAGGGTGATTGGTGTTGGATTGGTGGTAGAGTTTCGATCGTTGAAACGTTGTCGTTGGGACTTCGTCCTACTATGGACGATAGTCAGTCAGAACCTAATCTTATCAAGACACTACGTCCCAGGGTGAATGATGTGATGTACGCACCTATTCATGCCATTTAATCCCAGCCCATTCACGTTGATTGAATGCTGAACGTAGATGGTCGTAAAAGTTGAGCTGTCCATCCATCCATCTTGCGTCATAACGTCCTAACGTCTGGGATCCCGAGTAGCAGTTCGCCTAAAGTCGCGACGAATAGAGTAGAATCGCAGGAGGCCTTTGGGCGGCCGATCAGAGGCTGCTACTTGTCGCATCCGTACTTGGATTGGATGTGGGTTTGCGAGTATGGGGGCGTCGGCGCTGCCTTCTCACCTTGTTCAGCGTCCGCGATACGATCGGACCGTCGGTGCTCGGCATCGTCCAGCCTGACCTGTGTCCACTGTCGCAATTCGACGTCGGGCTGATGATATCATCGATCCACTCGATATCAAATCAGAACCTTCGACGAACCCAGATTCCACGCGCTGCTGTCCTCTTCTGGTCTCCCGCTTGTCCTTTGCATATCGGGCGGTTTTTTGATAGGTAGTGAATTGACGTTCTCCTCGCTGATTCTCGTCTTCCGAGCGCGTCTTCGCAGCGATAATCAGTCATCGTCGAAAGAGGAAAGACCAAAGAGACCACCGAAGGGAGGATGAGAGCCTCGTGCGCAGGATTTTCCGCAGCGCACGTGGTGCCGAGGGCCTATCCCCATCAATTTCCCTTGAGCACTGGCGTGATGCCATCATGCCATCATGATGCTTTGGCACAGGGCCGTCGCTGAAATCTGGTCGTGGGAACGCTGGGACCTCCGTTGAGCTGGGAAGGGCGGGTGATCATCATCATCATCCTCTGACTTCGACGAAGCCTTGACGAAGACGAAGACAAGGGGAGAGCACCGCCTCGTCTTTCTCACCCTGCTTTTTTCGTTGGTTGTGCACGGACGAGGGAATACCGACGGTTAGAGCTTTTGGTGATTTTGGGTTGACGTCGTGAGTCTCCTTTTTCTTTTTTCCTGGTTTGCGTTTTCGTGTTACGTTGCGGTTTGAGAAGGCCGTGTTGGTGGTTTTGGCATTTTTGCGAAGCTGGCGTTTGGCATTTTTTCATTTCGCACCTTCATTCACGCACCTTCATCTCCCCCTTTTTTTCTAAGTCTTCGCTTTTTTGTCGACCTATGTTGACACCGACACTGATGCTGGAAAAAAGGACACCGGCCCACTCAACTTCCCAGTACACCGCCACCGCCACCTTCCACCTTCCTCACCGACACCGACCCATACACTCCGGCATATGAAACCACCTCCACCTCCAACGTCCACATAGGGAAGAAGGCACAGGCATACGTACAGGCCTCGTTGGTTGGTTGACCCGTGGGCGAGACATCAAACAGTGACACCCAAACACCACACGCAGCTTGGCGTTGGCGTTGGCTGTGATACCCCTGGTGCACGCATACCGCCCTGAAGGACAGCAGTGTTTTGTCGGTGTTGCCTGTTGGAGGCTAGGCTAGGTCAGGGTCAGGGTTGACATTTTTTCTCTCTCTCTTCCCCTCCTCCTTCAACTCGCGTGTGGGCAACGACGACGTGGTTGTTCGCAAGACTCGACAAGACTCTCCTTTCCTCGACACTATTCTACACTACACTACCCCCCCACCTTCCTACTACACGCTACTACTTGACACCTCGACACCTCGACAACGCCAAAGTTAACGTCAACGTCAGCAGTTCGAAGTTCGCCGACGTCACTACTCTACTACCTTCCCTCGATATCGACAACGTCACTGCTTCGACACCGACATTGGCACAGGCATACGCCTACCCACCCAGCCTTCCGACCATCATTCTGCCGTCCGTCGTTCATCGTTCGTCTCGACAACAGCGTTATCTTTCGTCCTTCCTTCCTTCCTGTGGTCTTCTTCCTTCCTGCCTCCTTTCCGTCTCCGGGCAAGCCGTCGGTCTTCTCTATTCATCGGCACCCGGCTGACCCACCACCTACCAACTCGACGACTCGACTACACAACCACTCATCTCCTCAGCGACGCACCCATCTCACCTCACCTCACTTCCGTACCTCTGCCTTCTCCGTTATCACTCGCCACTCGCCACTTGCCAGCAAGTAACAGCGCATGGCATCCACCGCCTCCCCGCGCTTCCCCTTCTCCCTCCCCGGCTCCGGCTCCAAGAAAAAATCCACCACGCACCCCTCCCGAGAAGGAGACGAGTGGTACATCCCGTATAACGGCCCGGTCGAGCCCCCGCCGCCGAAGAAGTCGGCGCGGAGGAGGGATAGCTGGGGCGATGTTGTGGATGAGTATGGGTATGCGGGGGGAGTGGGGGATCGGCT